CGTCAGCCGCCCCGTTTCAGGGTTCCAGTCAGGCCTTCACGGTTACCGTAGCGGCCCTGAGGAATGAGGCGTCCCCACCGTACTTCACCCTGACTAGCGCTCCCCTACTTTAGGACGTTGCCCAGGGTGTACGACAGGGACGTGGAGCTAGACTTTACACCCCGCCGGTGTGATTTTGCCGATCGAAAAATATAAGCTTAGATTAAATCAAGCTTTAATATTCAGCGCGCAGACGTTGTTGAATTGATATCAGCAAGTTCTTCGTAAAATTTTTTCGCCGCAAGAGAATGGAATGACCGTCAAACTGTCGATGACAGTGATTCAATCAAATTCAAAACTACCTTTGTAGGCGAACATACGACCTATTTAACTCTAACGGAACGAGTAAATACCTTCGTTGTGATTTTGCCAAATGAAAAATCAAATTAAATTCACCGCGCGGTCCTTTTATTGTGGTGGTCGTCATTCCCAAGTTCTTTGCCAAATTTGTTCACTACCACAAATTCCAAAGACCGTCCAACTATCGACAGGGAAAATTCAGCTAAATGTAGAGCTAACCTTTTAGCCGAACATTGAACGCATTGAACTCCTATATCGAATGTGTCAATGCCTTCGCTGTGTTTTTTGCCGATCCACAACGGGAGGGTTACAAATTCCACTCCCCACTGGGCTCTGTAGGCAAGCTCAGTGCTGAGACAAACTTTAACTTTCCAGTCCCTCCCTTTAATCAGATCTCCGGAATCTGCTAAAATCTAGCAGTCACGTGACCAGCCGCAACCAGGGTACATTCTCGAGGTAAAGACAGGACCCTGGGAACGAGGTTGCCTCAAAAAGGCGTCTATCATGCGCCCCTCACTACTCATTGTCACTGTACATATACTAGATTTTTATTTCGGCACAATTTTTTCGAAGAACGCCTTTTAAGGCATTTTTTTAATTAATCTCTGATCGGAGACTTGAAAACGACTTAGAATTAATTTGTGGAAGACGTCGTAACAGTCGCTCCGCCCTTATTCTTAAATGTTACCTAGTTATAGTTGTTGTTTTAAGACATCGCGTAATAATC